ACTGCACTGGAACTGCGTTTGGTGTGAACTTTAAGCAAAAATGAATCCGGAATGCATCGGAGTGCATTTTTGTAGTGTGAACTGACCCTTAGGCTGCTTTCGCACATGTGTTTAGCCAAGCTGTGAATCCCAGTGCCAAGAATCTCCTGGCTTGGATTGACAGCTGTGTGCGGATAGCAGGGGCCACTGAGCCAGTGCCCTGCAAGGACAAGCTGTTGGCAGCCACAGTTATTCATGACTGCATAACCAGCGATTACCTGGTGCGAACAGTCACGAATAGCTGTGGCTGCAGACAGCCTGTCATTGCACTGCATGGGCTCAGTGGCCTGTCTGTGCACAGCTGTCAATCCCAGCTATAGAAATCAGCAGATTTTTTCAGCTGGGATTCTCAGCTTGGGTAAACGCCCATGTGAATACTGCCTAGGAAGCAGGGTTGTGGAATAGGCTCAGCTTTGACAGATGTCTTCATTTGCCTATAGTTTCAGCTGTTTATAAATCTGGATGTACTGTTCATTTTGACATATACTTTTGTTTGAAGGTCATTTCTGCTTATGTTTTTGTTGATCATGTGCTTAGTTTCAGCTCCCCAGGCTGAAAATTGGGTTAGTTTTAAATGACTGCAAATTTACTGGCAAAATCTATGAAAGATTTATGTACAGTCATGGCCGAAATTGTTGGCACCCTTGATATTTTTCCTGAAAATCAAGTATTTCACACAAAAAAAAAAAGGTATTGCATTAACACATGTTTTTTGCTATACACATGTTTATTTCCCTTTGTATGTATTGGAACAAATATAAAACAGAGGCAGAAAAGCAAATATGACATAATGTCACACAAAACCCCAAAAATGGGCTGGACAAAAAGTATTGGCACCCTTAACTTAATATTTGGTTGCACACCCTTTGGAAAACATAACTGAAATCAGTCGCTTTCCTATAACCATCAATAAGCTTCTGACACCTCTCACCCTGGAATTTTGGACCACTCTTCCTTTGCAAAACAGCTCCAGGTCTCTCTTATTGGAAGGACACCTTTTCCCAACAGCAATTTTAAGATCTCTCCACAGGTGTTCAATGGGAATTTAGATCTGGGCTCATTGCTGGCACACTTCAGAACTCTCCAGCGCTTCTTTGCCATCCATTTCTGAGTGCTTTTTGACGTATGTTTGGGGTCATTGTCCTGCTGGAAGACCAGGATCTTGGACGCAAACCCAGCTTTCTGACACTGGGCCCTACAGTGCGACCCAAAAATCCTTTGGTAATCCTCAGATTTCATGATGCCTTGCACACAGTCAAGGCACCCAGTGTGCCAGAGGCAGCAAAACAAACCCCAAAACATCATTGAACCTCCACCCATATTTTACCGTATGGTTACTGTGTTTTGTTCTTTGTAGGCCTCATTCCGTTTTCGGTAAAACAGTAGAATGATGATGTGCTTTACCGAAAAAGCTCTATCTTGGTCTCATCTGTCCACAAAGACGTTTTCCCAGAAGGCTTTTGGCTTACTCAAGTACATTTTGGCAAACTGTAGTCTTGCTTTTTTATGTCTCTGTGTCAGCAGTGGGGTCCTCCTGGGTCTCCTGCCATAGCGTTTCATTTCATTTAAATGTCGACGGATAGTTCGCGCTGACACTGATGCTCCCTGAGCCTGCAGGACAGCTTGAATGTCTTTGGAACATGTTTGGGCTGCTTATCCACCATCCGGACTATTCTGCGTTGCAATCTTTCATCAATTTTCCTCATCCGTCCACGACCAGGGAGATTAGCTACAGTGCCATGGGTTGCAAACTTCTTGATAATGTTGCGCACTGTGGACAAAGGCAAATCTAGTTCTCTGGAGATGGACTTGTAACCTTGAGATTGTTGATATTTTGCCACAATTTTGGTTCTCAGGTCCTCAGACAGTTCTCAGTCTCCTTTCTTTCTGTTGTCCATGCTTAGTGTGGCACAGACAGACACACAATGCAAAGGTTAAGTGAACGTCTCTCCTTTTTTATCTGCTTTCAGGTGTGATTTCTATATTGCCCACACCTGTTACTTGCCCCAGGTGAGTTTACAGGAGCATCACATGCTTGTAACATTTTATTTATCCGCAGTTGTGAAAGGGGTGCCAATACTTTTGTCCAGCCCATTTTTTTGGAGGTTTGTGTGACATTATGTCGAATTTGCTTTCTTTCCTCCCTTTTTTTGTTTTGTCCCAATACACACACAAAGGGAATAAACATGTGTATAGCAAAACATGTGTTAATGCAATACGTTTCGTGAGAAATACATGATTTCCTGGAGAAATATCAAGGGTGCCAACAATTTCGGCCATGACTGTATGTTCCCTTATTTAGCTTGAAGCAACACTAAATGGTATCCTTATTGTCCAAAAATAATCTATACTCATGTACTGCTTAATGGTCCTGTAATCTATTTTTCATGAAATCGTTTCTTACTATGTATTTTTTCCTAATAACATCCTGAAAGTCTAGTTTTTTCCTTCACTTAATTTGCTTGTAATGAACAGTGCATTTTAGTTGGGGTCATGTGCACTACAAATCCCATAGTGTGGCTACGTTCCAACATAAAGTGTGACCATGGAGAATGAACACAGTCATTCTTTAAGAGGAAGTCAGCTTCCTCCAAATCCCCTTTTTTTTTTTTTTTTTTTTTTTTTTTTTTTTTGCTGCTGTGGTCTGAGAGCAATAGAAGGTACTTTTTTTTTTTTTTTTTTTTTTTTTTTAAGTTAAAATGGTTCTTAAGTTTTTTTTTTATACCTTAATGCATTCTATGTGTTAAAGTGTTACTAAACCCAAGACCCTGCATTCACTATATCTGGTCTTCCACAGTACACAGAACATGGAAATACAATTATTTTAGTAAATATAAACTGCTGAATACCTTTTCTCATCAGCCGTTAGAGCAGTCTTGTGACTTCTATCAGTGTCCAACCCACCATATGTTAAAGCTTGTAGGAGGAGTTTTCATTCTGCTTTAGGAAGATGCAGGACCCCTGACCTCTGTCTAGACAATGCTGATTGGTCCTGTGCTGATCACATGCAGTCTCCCAAGAGAAAAAAACTCTTTAGCAATACATGTGCAGAGTGACTCTACAGATGTCTTATCACGAGATAGGAGGGGAACACTGGAAGAAGGGGAGGATCAGAGAAGTCAGGATTAAACAGTGTTTTTACACAATGCAGAGGATAACCTCTTAGGTTAGTATAACAAGCATGCTTTACTGCATATACAGACTGATTTTACTGTTGTGGGTTTAGTAACACTTTAAGATAAAAAACCTTTTGTGCTGCAGGATCCCCCCAGCACCCCCTTATTCTTACATGGGCCTAATCTGATCCAGTGATGTACACGAGAGCAGTGGCCTTCACCGCTGTCTCCCTCCTCACTGAGCAGATTGATAGAAGTGGGAGCCATTGACTTCCACTGCTGTCATTCAAATGCTGTGAAAGGGATTGAGCAAAGCTGCCTGCTCTGTCACAATAGATGCAGACAGGGAGGTTCGGGAGCGAGCCTGCATGAATGGACAACGGCTTCCCATGGGGGCACTCACTTAAGAGGAGGAGCCTGGAGCGCCGGCAGGGGACCCCAGAAAAGGAGGATCGGGGCTGCTCTGCAAAACCATTTCACAGAGCAGGTAAGTATACCATGTTTGTTATTTTAATAAAAAAATAAAATGAAGGTTTAAAGCAGAACTCCAGGCAAAAACCTATTTACATGTCCTTGTTGCTGATTTCTTACCATCACTGAATATGTCATCCATCTTCTGGTTCACTCAGTAGTTGCTCTGAAATAGCCTATTCATTTTCAAATCAAACCGTTAATTCTCATTGGTTTTCTGTTTGTAAGACCGGTTGCTGCTATGCCCCCTATTCCCCCAGCCACTGCTCTTGGCACATCTCTTCTGTAGTTCTTTCTCTAGGAAGCAGTGATATGAAACCGCTCCACTTGCAGTGGTGGCCTGGACCGAGACTCTCAGACACATTCAACATGTTCAGGCCTGTGGGAACTGTAGTTTCCTTGTACTTCGGAGAGAGGATATGATGTAATCTCTGATGTTGCATCTCTCTCCTTGGCAGACCAGATGCTCTTAGAGATGAGGTCATGAAAATTCAATTAGACTTTTCTCCTAAATGTTAAGGATTTTCAAAATATTATTAACTGTTTAGTGATTTGTGTAGGGGGGGTGTACTAATGGGTGATTTTTTTTTTTTATTTTTTTATCTATCCTGGTGTTCTACATATTTTTATTTTTTATTTCTTAACCAGAGTTTAGTGTCACTTTAAAGTGAATCTGCCCAAAATGTTTCTAGAGTTGTATGAAGTACAGGCACATTGTGGTGTCTGCAAGTATCTGTGCTAGTGTGCTCATCAGTTTGTGGATTTTTTTTGATCCGTGGCCCAAGCTGTACATGGGACCTCAGCTTCTCCCAAAATTAAGACAAAGCCCTGCCTTCTGTTGTTTGGCTGTTATTTGGCTGTAAGTACATAAGTGGGCGTAAGCCTGAAGGATGCTTCTGTTATATTAAAGACATTCAAGTAATACTTGCAAACAAAGTGTGTTAAAATCCATACCTTTCTAGCTGCCTGTTTCACCAAGCACTGCTCCAGTACTTTGAGATCTTGTTAAGTCTGCAGGGAAATCAATGTTTCCAGGAGTGTCAATCTCCTGGGTCCCACACAGGTCTTCCTGATTCCTCCTGCTCTCCTCCACGTCACTCTTCACGCCTGCATTATGGTAGAGGTCAGAAGGAGGAACCAGTGATAGTTGTGGAGGACCTGGGAGATTAACGCTCTTGAAAATGTTGGATTCCCAATGGCTTCACTGAAGACTTCTCAGGCTGTGTTCTGTGATGCTGTTAGCAGGACAAGTAATTGTTTTAACACACTTTATTTATAAGTGTTGCTTGATTCCTTATCTTTAAAGTGGATCTGCACTGCATCTGAGCACCACAAACCAAAAATGCTGTTTAATTCTTTTTTTTTTTTTTTTGTTTAACCACTTCAAGTCCGGACACTTTTTCACCCCCTTCCTGCCCAGGCCAATTTTCAGCTTTCAGCGCTATCACACTTTGAATGACAATTGCGCAGTCATGCAACACTGTACCCATATGAATGTTTTAGCATTTTTTTGAGACGGCTAAAGCTTTATTTTGGTGGTATTTATTCACCACTGGGATTTTTATTTTTTTGGTATATGAATGAAAAAGTCCAAAACAAACGTTTTTCTTATAAAATTTTGCAAATAAATAATCTTTCTTCATAAATCTTGGCCAAAATGTATTCAGCTATCTTTTTAGTAAACAAAAATAACCCAAATTTTTTTATAACCAAAAATTTATAATTTAAAAAAAAAAAAAATGTTTTTACATTTTTTTTTTTATATTATTATTTATTTATTTATTTTTTAACATACTGTCACCCTAGCAGTACAGTGTCACCATAGTGAAACTGTACTACTTGTTGGGGGTAATGATTTTTTTTTTTATATATATAAATGAAAAAGTCCAAAAATTTTGGAAAAAAAGTGTTTCTTATAAAATTTTGCAATTAAATAATATTTCATCATAAATCTTGGCCAAAATGTATTCAGTTATCTTTTTAGTAAAAAAAAAAGCCCAAATTAGTTTATAAATTTTATTTACCATTTTTAGTTTATTTTTTATATTATTTGTTTTTTTTTTTTATTTTTACATACTGTCACCCTAGCAGTACAGTGTCACCATGGTGACACTGTACTAATTGTGGGGGGTGCTGAAGATTTTTTTTTTTACACTGATTGCTTTTACACCCATAAAGGCTGTAAAAGCAATAATTTCTCCTACTGTCTGGCTGCATTCTTGCAGCCATTGAGAAATACTGTGTGATCTGTGATTTGCAACAGCTTGTCACATGGTACAAGGCTGTTGTGAATAGCTGTGTACCATGTGACCTCTGTGACCATTCACAGATTTCACAAGTAGTAAGCAATAATCTCAGAAGTGACATCTTGCTTACTACTGTGCATGTGATCACTGATTGGCCAATCAGTGATCACATGATCGGGACCTCACACAGAGGTCCCGTCTGACGATCGGTGTTCCACTGTGTCCGGAGGACACAGCGGTCATCGGATCGTGGTGCTGCGCGCTCCCAGGGAGTGCACGCAAGCAGGGGTCTGGGAGGCCGTTTATAAACGGCCACCCGCCCTTGCACTGTCAGCATCCGGCTGGTTATATACAATGGCCGGAAGTGAGGTGGTTAACAGACTTTAATTAATTTTTAATATTCAATCTCTTAGATTGTAAGCTCCAAGGAGCAGGGCCCTCCTATTCCTCTTGTATTGAACTGTATTGTTGCTGTATTGTCTCCAGGTATATTGTAAAGTGCTGAGCAAACTGTTGGCTCTATATAAATCCTGTATAATAATAATGCTTTATTTTGCTGAGAAATAATTTTTAAATACATCCCCTAACATTTCTGGCAGTGGCCATCTTGAGTGAGGGCAGATTTTTCATGTGTAATTTACTTCCTGGAATTCATCTGCCCTTAGTTTAGGCATTGGCTGAGCTGACAACCCTCCCTCCACTCCTGAAGACTGCTGGAATGTATGACATCATTTGCCTAGGCATTGAAACCAGGAAGTAACTGAAGAAATGCAAAAAAAGTTTGAACCGCGTAAATATGATATACTTTCCAATCTCTTTACTAATGCTAGCATTATAAATATATAGGATTATAAATAGTCCATGTTGATTGCAAGAGTGAAGATCTGCTTTAATATAGTAACAGGGTTGTTTTAATCCAAACTTGGATGGAAGCCAACTCTGCTTGTTCAGACAAGGCCCTTGATGCACGGAGCTCAACATACACAGGGAAACGTTTGAAATGCTAGTTGCCTGACTTTTTATAGTTACCCTTTTGCTTCAGTAGTTTGCATCACTGGTACAGGAATAAGAGTAAAGATAAGCAGTTTTCTGTTTTCCGATCTGCATACTGTTCTAGATTAGTTACTAAGTTTTGAAATCAGTAGGTCAGAATAACAGCCAAGAAACCAGGAGGAGGCTAGTAATGGCCTCCCCATCTCTTTCATGACAGATTTACTTTAACCAATTCAAGTCCGGACACTTTCACCCCCTTCCAGTCCAGGCCAATTTTCAGCTTTCAGTGCTATCACACTTTGAATGACAATTGCGCGGCCATGCAACGCTGTACCCATATGATTTTTTTTAGCATTTTTTTGAGACAGATAAAACTTTATTTTGGTGGTATTTATTCACCACTGGGATTTTTTATCTTTTTGGTATATGAATAAAAAAGTCCAAAACAAGGATTTTTCTTATAAAATTTTGCAAATAAATAATCTTTCTTCATAAATCTTGGCCAAAATATATTCAGCTATCTTTTTAGTAAAAACAAAAATAATCCAAATTGGTTTATAACCAAAAATGTATATTTTTTTTATTTTTTTTTTATATATTATTATTATTTTTTTTAAACATACAGTCACCCTAGCAGTACAGTGTCACCATAGTGAAACTGTACTACTTGTGGGGGGTGATGTTTGTTTTTTTTTTTTTTTTTTTTTTTTTTTTTTTACAATGATTGCTTTTACACCCATAAAGGCTGTAAAAGAAATCATTTCTCCTCTCTGGCTGCATTCTTGCAGCCATTGAGAAATACTGTGAGATCTGTGCTTGGTCACAGCTAGCTTGTCACATGGTACAAGGCTGTTGTGAATAGCCTTGTACCATGTGACCTCTGTGATCATTCACAGATTTCACCAGTAGTAAGCAATGATGTCAGAAGTGACATCTTGCTTACTACGATTCATGTGATCACTGATTGGCCAATCAGTGATCACATGATTGGGACCTCACACAGAGGTCCCGTACAGCGATTGATGTTGGAGGATACAGCGGGCACCGGATCGCAGTGCCGCACGCTCCCAGGGAGCGCACGCAGGTAGGGAAGTGGGGAAGACGTTTATAAACGGCCATCCACTCCTGCACTGCTCCCGTCTGGCCGTTTATGTACATTGGCCAAATGGGAAGTGATTAATGTACTGCGTTTTGGGATAACTTTAGGCCCCTGGGAGTGAGTGGTCACCTGTTGCCTTTCAACTACTGCACTACTACCTCCCTGAACTTGTGATAATAATACATGTTTTCTTCTAAATATGAATAATGATATAACATGGTATAGCTCTGCCTCCTCTTGTAAATTCTTCAATGCCCATTGGTATCAGGGATGTGGACATTTTTGAAAAAACTACTTGTCCAGGGACTAAATTGGTGTCCCAATCTACTTGTCCCTCATGACAATCTACTTGTCCAGGTTAAAATAATTTTTTTAACCAAAACCGTATTGAAATCGGAGGTGATATTAGGAATGTTTTAAAAACAAAAGGGGCTTTATGGCGACTTAAACGTTTAATATTTTTAACATTGCACTGTTTATCTCCTCCTCCCCTCCCTGCCTTTCACCAGCACCGCACCCAGGGACTAGCAGGGAGCAGAGAGACACCATACAATGTAGTGAGCACTGATTGGGTGCTTGTCAGGAAAGGGGAGTGTCGGGCTTATCTTTTATCCCTTTCGCTATCAGAGCAGTTTTTGCATTTTTTTGCACAAGATTTAAAACAATCATTTTAGGCCTGAGGATTACATAAAACCCCCAAACATGATATATTTTCTGAAATCGGAGACCGTAGAGAATAAAATTTACCGCAAAATTTCAGTAAAAAATACAGGTTAGTTAATTTTAGGGCACAAAAATAAAATCAATAAATTACCCTAATTGTCTGTAAAATATAAAAGATGAGGTTGCAGCAAGTAAATAGATATCCAACATGTCAAATTTTAAATTTGCTTGCACTCTTGAAATGGCGACAAACTTCAGTACTCTATATTTCCTATAGGCCACACTTGTAAAACCCCTTCTAGGTCACCAGTATAGTGTTTTATAGAGGAGGTCTGGTGCTAGCATTATTGCTCTCATTCTGGCTTGCGCGGCGATGTGTAACGTGTATCGCAATCGATATATTCATGCGTTGGCGCACCAGCATATGCTTTTACGTTTGTTCGTTCGTATATGTGGGGGGGGATATTATGTGCTTGGGTGTAACTTTCATTTTTTACAACTAAAAAAAAAAAAAAAAAAAAACTTTTTTTTTTTTTTTTTTTTTTTTTTTTTTTTTTTTTAGTTGTAAAAAATGAAAGTTACACCCAAGCACATAATATCCCCCCCCCACATATACGCTGGATGTCTCCCCTCTGCTCCCCTGAATGTAATGCAGTGCACATCGTACCGCATTACATTCTTTCCCGGCCTCAGTTGCTGGGAATTTGTGAATGGGGGCCTGGAAGTGACATCAAACGTCACTGCCGGGGCAGGACAAGAAGGGGAGTAGACGTGTCCTCTCTCCCCTCTAGCTTGCTGTCGGTGAGCCGGTCCCGGGCCTGCAGATGGGTAAGCGGAGCCTGGGAGACAGTGGGCGGGGGGAACGTCACACGGGGGGGCAGAGAGATGCTGGCGCCGTGTGGAAGCATTCGAGCGATAGCGCTGCCACCCAAATGCTTCCACCTGACAGGTGAGCCTGCTGCTTGCCCACAGCAGGGCTGAAGGTAAAAAACAACATCCTGCCCGGCGCCCGTAACTACATGTCCTCGGTCTCGGGCAATAAGAATTCAACATCCCTGGGTATGATGACCATCCTCACATATTTTTACCAGGAAGTTGACAGACCAGTAACTCCGAGTCACCTCTGACCTGCTTATGGCTCCAGTAATGGAACCTGTGAAAATGCATGTTCCATCTTCATTTTTGCTTCATTTAAGAGATACTGACCTGGAACAAGCAAACCCAGGTGAAGTGTCCCGGAACTGGCCATTTCATGTGGTAGAAGATGCATTTAATTTGTTACATGAAACAACTCTGCTTCAAGCTACTGTATATCACCAACCTTGTCTCAAATAATCACCCAAACTTTCCCTATCACTTATCCCAAGACTTCCTCCTCTCAAGCTCTCTTGTTCCCTTCGTACTTACTTGCCTACAGGACCTCCTCAGAGCTTCTCCAATCCTCTTGAATTCTCTACCTCATCCTGCTCAGCTCCCTCTATTCTGTCTACCCTTAGGCGAACCCAGAAAACTGATCTTCTGAGGAAAGCGTATTTCTACCTCTACCTAAAAACAGAAATTTAACTCTCTCCATCAACTCATTCCCACACAGTTATTACCTTTTGTTTTACTTGTTCCTTCCTTTTTACATTGTAAGCTGTCATGTGCATGTTCTTTATAACTTTCTTGTTCTGAATTGTAGTGTATCTGTATTGTCTCCCTTTATTTTGTAAAACGCTGTGCAAACTGTTTGGCTCTATATAAATACTGTATAATAAAAAATACTCATAGTTGTTGGTAAAGTTAACAAAGACTGAGGGAGTAATATCAATTAATTTACTTGTCTGGAACTCTCATTTGTACACTTTTTAAACATTTTCATTTATTTATTTAGAGAACTTCTGATGTATAAAGAATCAAACACGAAGGTGGAAAAATGAGCTTGACATCATGGTTTTTGGTGAGCAGTGGAGGCACAAGACACAGACTGCCAAGAGAAATGATTTTCGTTGGAAGAGATGACTGTGAGCTGATGTTGCAGGTGATTTTCCGTCTTTTCTCAGTCATGTGGTGCACATAGTTCTGTGATTTCCTGCCATTGTACACTTTTGCCTTTCTAGACGTAAAGTATTTGTGAGCACACTGCATAAAAAGGCTATCCCACCCTTAAAAGAGAAGAACTAAAAGAGCTCATGGAACAGGAGTCAAGAAGGATATTCAATAGGGTCTCAAAAGAAAGATATCAGTGGGGGAATAGACCTGGAAAATATCGAACGAGGAAGCTTAAGGAAAAGAAATCTCAACATTTTATAGAAAGAATTAAAGATGGTAAAGGAGGAATGATGTACACTACTACTGATATCGCAAATAGGTTTCATAAATATTATAGCAGGTTGTACGATGTGAGCCCCAGAAATAAAAAAGAAGCGGAAGATGAAAAGAAGAAAAAAAGGCAGAAATATTTAAAGGAAGTGGAGTTGCCAAGATTAGTACAAGAAAAATTAGAGGCCCTAGAGAGATTAATTACCCCGGAGGAAATTACCTTGGCTATAAAATATACGGCCACAGGAAAGAGTCCTGGCACTGATGGATACACTGTGGGATATTTTAAAAAATTAAAAAATCTCCTTGTCCCTAAAATGTGTGGTTATATGAATGCAATAGGGGAGGGACTGGAAATGAGGGATGAGTCCTTGCAATCTTATATAACAATTATACTTAAAGACAGGAAAGACAGTACACAGTGTGCTAGTTACTCTACTAAGGTACTGGCAACCAGGATGAAGGAGTTGATGCCGGAGTGGGTACACCTAGGTAGGATTTATCCCAGGAAGACAAGGTAGGGACAATGGTCTGCTATCATTGCTTCTCCTACAAAGGGTAAAAAGAGAGAAATTGCCGACAGTGTTCCTGTTGATAAATTCTGAAAAGGCTTTCGACAGGGTTAATTGGGGATTTATGTTTGATACATTGGAGGCCTTAGGAATAGGAAATGTTAAGGTGGATAAAAGGGCTTTACAACGGCCCATCAGTGGCGATTAAGGTTAATGCATCCCTCTCTCAGTTCTTTAAAATGTATAATGGTACTAGACCAGAATATCCACTTTCTCCTTTGTTATTTGTATTGTCCTTGGAACCTGTTCTGGCGAGGATAAGAAAGTGTATAGATATAGCAGGAATAAAAATAGGGGATGTGGAACACATGGTGACAGCATATACGGATTACGTGTTGTTTTACGTAGTAAATCCTAGAATAACGTTGCCTTATTTAATGAGTTTGTTAAATCAGTATGGCGAGCTGTCAAATCTGAAAATAAACCCTGCAAAATCAGAGATTTTAAACATCAATTTATCAAAATCAGTGGAGCTGAGTCTTCAAAAAGAGTTTCCATTCACTTGGAAGGGAAAAGAAATAGGCTATCTGAGAGTAAAATTAACTCCTTCAATAAAAGGCCTATATCAGGCGAATTATATACCATTAATAACAAAATAAAGAACGAGCTGAGGAGATTGTTAAAAGGTGGAGCTTCTTGGATAGGCCTTATAAATCTGGTAAAGATGGTGATAGTACCAAAAATCATGTATAAGTTTCATATGCTACCAGTACACCTTCTGGGATAATTTGTTTACATAATTAAGAAGATGATACTCAAGTTTATTTGGGCAAATAGAAAACAGAGAATTCGTTATGAGGTGATGTGTAGGGCAAAAGGGAATGGGGGCTTGGGTTTGCCCAATATGAATAAATATTATTTAGCGGTGATACTATAATGTATAATAGACTGGACATTTAATGCACAAGGGAAAGGTTGGGTGAATATGGAAGGGATTTTGAGTAGGGCACAGTTAGGGAAGATGGTGTGGATACCACATACAGTATTTTCTGGTGTATAAGACTACTTTTTATAATTAAAAAATATACCCCAAAAATTGGGGGTCGTCTTATACGCGGGGTATAAATTGTGAACCTTGAGTTTGTTTGGGTCAAGCTGGCTGGATGTGTGGTATTACTGTACATACAGTATACCGTGCTGAGCCAAGCTGGCTCAAAACAAATGTCCCTATGACAGATTAATCTGTCAGCCCGCTGGATGTACGGTATATACAGTATACTGCGCTGAGCCAAGTGCTTTGAAAATATACCGGTACGTCCCTACTGTAATCAGCCCGCTGGATGCGTGTATGTACGGTAGCTGCTGCTACATACATCTTGCAGTGTGTTCCTCTCCATTCGTCCTTCATTCTCTGGGTCCTTGGTTTCTAAATGAGATGCAAAAGTTGCTCTCATCAGAAAAGAAGACTTTGGACCACTGAGCAACAGACCAGGTCTGTTTTTCTTTAGCCCAGGTAAAGGACGCTTCTGGCGTTGTTTGTTGTTCAGGAATGGCTTGACAAGAGGAATACGCCATTTGAAGCCCATGTCCAGGATCCCTCTGTGTGTGGTGGCTCTTGATGCACTGACTCCAGCCTACTCCTTGTGAAAGTCCCCAACACTTTTGAATGGCCTTTTTCTGACAATCCTCTTCAGGCTGCGGTCATCCCTGCTGCTTGTGCACCTTTTTCTTCCACACTTTTCCTTCCACATAACTTTCTATTAATGTGCTTTGATACAGCACTTTGGGAACATCCAACTTCTTTTGCAATTACCTTTTGAGGCTTTCCCTCCTTATGGAGGGTGTCAATGATGGTTTTCTGCACAACTGTCAGGTCAGCAGTCTTTCCCATGATTGTGATTCCTACTGAACCAGACTGAGAGACCATTTAAAGGCTCAGGAACCCTTTGTAGGTGTTATGGCTTAATTAGCTGATTAGAGTGGGACACTTTGAGCCTAGAATATTGCACCGTTTCACAATATTCTAATTTTCTGAGATTGGATTTGGGGTTTTCGTGAGCTGTAAGCCATAATCATCACAATTATGACAAATCACGGCTTCAACTATCTTGCTTTGCATGTAATGAGTCTATCTCATATATTAGTTTCACTTTTTAAGTTGCATTACTGAAATAAATGAACTTTTGCACGATATTCTAATTTTTCGAGTTTCACCTGTATATAGTGGCACTGGCCGAATATACAGGACTATTGGAAGGGAATAATACAACTAATTCTGCAAATATGTGGGATTATGGTGCAGAGAGATCCATGGATGTGTTTTTTTTTTTTTTTATAAACCCGAACATTCAATAAACTTATGCAGGGGTACGGTACTGTTTCATTTAGTCAGTGCGACTAAATGATTGGGGATTGGGCTTGATCCCCAAATTTTGCCAAGTCTCAGAGCCACCAAGAGTAAAAGACTAGATAAACAGAGTGGAAAATATCTATAGGTTGGAGGAGTTACATCATATTGAGGTGGATAAATGAGATAAAGTTAGGAAAACATGGAGTAACTGGTTCAATTTTAAAACATCTAAAAAATATCTAGAATAAATTGCAGTTTAGGTGGAATATATTAGCGGAAGCCTAACTGAGATCCCGAGAGATAGAAATGATGTAAGATGGAGGGGTATAGAAATGGATAGAGAACCATGAGGGAGGAAAACGGAAGTAAGAGAATGTGGACAGGGGTATGAGGGGGGTTGGGTGGGAGGACAGGAGAGGAGGGGTAAATGTGTTGCAAAAGGAACTTAGCTATTGGGGATGTACTTGTGATGTGTATGCCTGTCTTATTTATTTTTTAGCATATATTAAATGTTCTTCTTTGTATCAGAAAAATGTTATAAATAAATTATATAAAAAAAATAAATGAAGGCCTATTCTAAATATATACCAAATAATATCCCCTAGCATGTCAAGGTAATTGAACAGGGCCATGGGCAAGAACTGTAGTTGTTGGAGGACAGAATGATCCATCAGTATAGAACCAGAATCCCAAGACAGCTTAGATAGCTATGGTATGGCAGAGGGACAGTGCTGTAAAGCAATCTGCGGCTAACTCATAACATTGCATTAGGGGCTTACTTGGGCAACCTTGATACAGATTGCAGTGGTCAAGGAGACACATTATAGGCCGACCCCACTTCTTCTTCCCAGCAGGGGTTGGGTATGGCTCCTAGGGCAAAGCTGTGAATTAGCTGAAAAAGGGGGAAAAAATAAGGCCATCCAAGTTTTGCAAATTAAGGATCTGGGTCAAGACAAATTTATCTTCAGAATTTTTTTAAAACTTTTTTTTTTTTTTTTTTTTTAACCATCTTCCACCCGCCATATAGTACAATGACGGGCGCAAGGTGGTTCTCTCGTCCTGATAGGATGTCATATGACGTCCTTCCATTCTCAACGCGCAGCGCGGCGATTGCAGGTGCGCTGTGTCCCTCGGACACAGCGGATCACGGAAAGAGCCGAAGATGTCGACATGGTCAGTTATCAGCTGTGTCCAATCACAGCTGATCACATGTAAACACGGAAATGCCGGTTATCAGCATTTCTCTCCTCTCGGCTGTCACGCACAGCTCGAGAGGTGAGGAGAGCCGGTAATCGGCTTTCCGCGGAGGGGACATGTACACTGATCATAGGCAACCATACAGAATGATGAGACACATTATAGGCCGACTTCTTCTTCCCAGCAGGGTTGGGTATGGCTCCCCTGAAAAAGGGGGAAAAATAAGGCCATCCAAGTTTTGCAAATTAAGGATTTGGGTGACAAATTTATCTTCAGAATTTTTTTTAAAACTTTTTTTTTTTTTTTTTTAACCATCTTCCGCCCGCCATATAGTACAATGACGGGCGCAAGGTGGTTCTCTCGTCCTGATAGGATGTCATATGACGTCCTTCCATTCTCAACGCGCAGCGCGGCGATCGCCGGTGCGCTGTGTCCCTGGACACAGCGGATCACGGAAAGAGCCGAAGATGTCGACATGGTCATGTTATCAGCTGTGTCCAATCACAGCTGATCACATGTAAACCACGGAAATGCTGGTTATCAGCATTTCTCTCCTCTCGAGCTGTCACACGAGAGGTCAGCCGGTAATCGGCTTTCCGCGGAGGGGACATGTACACTGATCATCACTGATGATCAGTGTGCCCTGATGATCAGTGTAGC